CTGTATGAGATAGTCGGTGGTGAAAAGACTAATGAAGGTTTGGTAGAAATCTGGTACAATAATACTTGGTCGGAAATCTGTGCTGGTTCTTTTGGTCAGACGGAAGCTGAAATTGTTTGCCACCATCTTGGATACAATAGGTTAGGTCAAACTTCATTCAACAATCTCTGATGTTTCCGTAAATATAAGAGAGCCTTCACGGTAGAATGTTTCTTCAAAATCTTGGCAGATACGGATTGAAGATTTGCTTTGGCACTTGGACGTCTTGATCTGGTGGGAGCTGACTGTTTTTTTTTTGCAATCACATCGTCAGTTGTAAGAGTTCTTTATCACAGTGGCATCTTTATGAATCACCAAGTGAGAGGTCATATTAGGGGTTGCATAGTTGTCACGTGGGATTACAAAAAGTACAATTTGAAAGTGACTGGGTGGGGGGGGGGGGGGGGGGGCTCAACCCGTAAAAATTCCATCTATCACTAACGTTTCGATTGTGTTATAGAACGGGAAGTATTGTGATACCAAGTCTAAGTTTTGATGAAACCCAGGAAGAAGTGCGGATTAAGGATGTGAAATGTACGGGATCGGAACCCATACTACAAAGATGTAATCTCGGGCTACTGGCATCTACAGAAACCTGTCCGACTTCAAACTACGCAGCTGTTAGATGTGCACGTAAGTTTTAAGAGAATGAACATTCATTTTATGTTACATATAACGTTTGGCTATGAAGATAACAGTGTAGATGAAACAGTTTAAATTAACAGAGAGTTACATAGTATGATGGTGGGTCCTTGGCGTTCTAATTTTCCCGTTTGTATGGGTTCCGAAAAACTTACTCTTAAATCAGGAAACCTTCCCACCCCTTCTCCGACCTTTAAGTTTCGACAAATTTCCTTTCTCAAACTTTTCATTTTATTTATTGTCCTTGTGAGTGCCTCAATCCAACATGAAATGCCATTAAAAAACGTATTCCAGCCAAACCCCCTACAGTACGACTTGTTGGTGGTTTCCAGTCCAATGAAGGTCGGGTAGAAGTGAAATATAATGGCGTCTGGGGTACAGTCTGTGGCAGCAATTGGGACAAATGGAATGCCGCTGTAGTTTGTAGACAACTTGGTTTTGATCCGTAAGTTTACCTGAAGTAACCAAATCCAAATTCCATTTGACATATGAAGAGGGGGAGGGGGTGGGGTAGTGTATGGCAGTTATACCAAGAGACAGCTGGACTGTTTCACCAGCTGAGAAAGCTCAAATTCAGTTTTCCATTCTTTGATAAATAGTGGCGTTTCTATGAACCATTAGATGAGAGGGCCGAACTGGGGCCACAAACTTTTCCGAGGGGATCCACGGGCAACTCCTTCACTATGAAAAATGATAAAGATATTGAAAGTGGGTTAGAAAGAGGGTCAGCTTCTTTTCTGCACCTCGCCCCCCTCTGTAAAAATCAATGGGCGATATTTGTTTTGTCTATTCTAGAAAGGGAGCTCAAAAAAGAGGTTTTTCTCATTTTGGTGAAGGAACTGGTCAAGTGTGGTTGAACAGGGTGGATTGCAGGGGTACAGAGGCGAGGATTGAGGACTGTGAACTTGATGGATGGGGTTCGTCACAGTCTCCTTGTGAACATTATTATGACGCTTCTGTTGTTTGTCGCCGTAAGTCTTTAAATCGTTACTTTGTCTGTGATAGCTTTACTGTTTGATCCAATTTTGGTCGTTGTGCTGTTTGCTGGTTGAAGGAGACGACACATATGAAACTATTTATAGTGGAAATAACACACACGAATGTAACTCGAGTCGAAGTTTTAAAAGAGCTTAATATTTCAACCAATCTCTCAAATCACATTTAGTGATGTCTCTGAAAAAAGCGTATTGTCGTTCGGTGTTCGGCAGGCTGTACACGTTCAG